TACTTCCTGCCTCATTCCCTACCCACCTGTCTTTCTGGTAGGAGTGTTATGGTGCGGGTTAGCAGCCTGGTAGATGTAAGAAATGTGCTGTGTGGACTTAAGGTACCTGTCATGTGCATACGTGTCTCTGTGTGTGCTCTTCCACCGTGTAGGCGCTCCTGTGCCTGGGCATAGCGGTGTCTGTGTGACAGCTTTCAGTAGCAAGTGTATTAGCCGTATGTTGGCAGCTGAGCTTTTTCCCAAGTCCTGAGCACAATCGCAGAAAGGCTCCCAGGGCATGCTTCCATAGCTTGGGGATGTCTTTCTCCCACTTCTGTTCTGCACATACACATCTTTAATGACAAAAGGCATTTCCTGATGGCAAGCAGTAACTCCTAGTCTGAGAGAGCTTTCAGTACTGACTGGCCTGAACATATTTTTTTTTTTTTTTATTTCATTAAGAACAAAAGGTTTAATATTTTTCTCTTGAATCTCAGCTCAAGCTTCTGTTCGTTTTGCCAGCTCTGTTCAGACATCTGCTGCTTCAATCCAGGCAGGCTGTTTTAGGGATGAAAAGACTCCTAATTTTCCTTCCAGAAAACTGGAATCCCCTGAGTATAGACTTTTATGTCTTTAGATACTGACTCCCAAGTTATGATGGCATCCCCAGAAGAACTAGAGCAAGTGAGTGGATTTGCTTATTATTTATTGTATTATATTTTTTCATTAACAACCTCAACTTCAAGGGCAATTATTACCAGCTTTTCTACCTTCCTTCAGATATATTTCTGTCCATAGATTTTCTGGGCAGTCACTTAAAACAGCATATGTACGCAAGACATGTTTCCTAGACTCAGACTTTCTTTGTATATGCCAGGTTCCCTTGTTTTTCAATGATTTCTGTCTAGCTGAGACAACAGGGCACTTCTTGATTAATTGTTTTTAGGGCCAGAAAGGATCTTTTTTTGTGATAATATTGCCTGCTGTCCTTTCAGATGCACCGTTAGAATTATCCTATAGTGGAAAGATCTAGGTTGGAAAGCATCTCTTGAAGTCTATCCCTCTTAGGCCCCACTCAAAGTAGGGCCTGAATTAATTAATCCTTTTGAACTACAGTATACCTTTTAGTAAAAAAGAAGTGAGCATTTCTTGGTTTCTGTATTGGTGAGGTTTTTTTCATCTTGCTGGCACTAAAGCTTTATTATACCGTAAATGATGTATTTCGCAGCTGCAACAGCAATTTTTATTCAGACAAGTTAGTTTGGTCACATGCTTGATGCTGGCTCTAGCTTATTTTCAGCTGCTAAAGTGCACAAAAGAAAACTAAAAATACCTTTCCATATATCTAGGAATTTGTGTTCCAGTCACAGTATCCTTACAAATGGTTTGTAAGAGAAACAGTGCTAGTGATCGTTCTGTTCTCATTTGTCTGTCAGTGAGCTAGCTTGCCTCTTTTAAAAGACATTGGGTAATACCTGTTTTTTCTTGTGCTAAAGGTGTGAAATGCCCGGCGCATCAGGGCTTTCCTAGTCTGTGCAGAATGTCAAAGTGAAGGTAGGGAGCTTTCAGAGCTTATCACAAATAGCAAGACTGTGATAATATTGCCAAAGATGATAGAAGGAGGTTTGGCCTTCTATCTGTTGAGCTGACCCTGGCAATGAAGAGTCAGGTAGGAACATAAAGATACGGGCTAGATTAGGAATCAAAGACTAGATGCTTTTAAACTGCTTGCTTGTTCCAGTGTCATTGCATTTATGTTTTTAAGATGGCCAGTATTCCTCCAAGCGTGTTTTAGCTGACCATTGAGAACCCTGGAAACGGTGCTGTTTGCTTAATGTACAGCAAATTCAGAGCCCAAAGCCTCCCTGGTCAGGGCGCTGGCACATGTCCCGTCTCATGGGAACCCCAGGAACCTCATGCAGGTTTTCGTGTCTCCCCTGCAGCTGCTGTCCCTTGTTCTAGGTGCAGCAGCCCTAGTCCGATGTTCCTCGCTGGTGGTGTGTGCTGGACCTGTCGGCGTTCTTGGAGAATCTCCCTGTGATGGTTCATGTTTCTTTTGAAATACTGGGTCCCAAACTTGATCAAGGTTGCAGTGGTTTGAATAGAGTGGAAAACTGATCTCTGTGTCACACAAGCAACACTTTCTTTTTCTATGTTCCAGAATTGCATTTGCTTTCTTTTTCACAACACTGTGCCTTGCTTAAGCCCTGTTCAGTTTTTAATCTCAGATAACGCCATTTTTTTTCCTGCCCAGGCAGTTATTTTTCATCCTATTTTTGAACAGTAGATTATTTCTATCCTAGTTCTCTATCCTGCTTCTTTCTGCTCTGTACTTGCCTGTGCTGAATTACATCCTATTTCAAAGCATTTTTCTAGGTTATCAAGATCATTTTGAAATGTGATATGTAAGGATGTAGGGTTTTGGAAGACAAATCTTCCCCTAGTTCTTAATGCTGTTGTAAACTCCTGTGCTCTGATCTCCTCAAATCCCCTCCTCCATTCCCCAGTGAAAACTGTGGAGGAATTTCTACTGTGGGTACCTGTGAGGGAATTATGAAAACCCATGGAAGGGTCAGAAAGCTTGAATAGTTTCTACTCTGACACAGAGGCCTCTAGCTGGGATGAGGGATCACAGCAATTTCAAAATCTCTTTTCATTCTGCTGTGGAAAGGTTTGTGGGATGGGTGTGGATTGAAAGATTCGTTCAAATAAGCAATCAGGACAGGCTGGACTCCGTCCTTTTATCCAGGGCAGGTATTTACAGTCAGGAGAAAAAATCCAGTCTCTTACAATCCAAAAAAGCCACAGGCAAAAATATCTTCTGGTCCCGTAACTGTGTACTTAAATGAGTGTTTTCTTAGAAATACCTTTGGAGGGCGGCAAATGTTGGAGTTGCCTCAGCAAAATTAGTGAGGGGGAACCTGGGCAGTATTTCTAGCACCTGGATTGAATGTGATCTGCTTTCCCAGAGGTTTGTAGTTTGTGTTTCACAGAGTGCCTCTCATGCTGACACAATGAGGAGGAACACACTTCTTTGCTTCTGGTGTATTTGGTTTGTGTCTTGCTTTCAGTACGTTGAAGTTTTCAGAACAGACTCCATGAAACACTTAGAATTATGCAGCTGGGTGAAAGAGGAGACTCTGCAGGACTCTCAAGTGTTTAATGGAAACTTAATCTTGCCTCTTTTCTAAGTAGTCTTAAACGGTGCAGAACCAGTCATAACTCTGTGCTGCATAAAATGTTACTGGCTTTATACAGTTTCTCCATTCATAAACCCTAATCAGGATTAAAATGTTTGGTTGCATTCCCGTCAGTGGTAAGTCAGTGCAAATAAATGCAGGAGAGGACTCCAGCTGTCTGGCCACCCCAGCTGTTGACAGAAGAACAGAGCGTTGAAGTTAGGTGTACATCTGATGTTTTGTGTTTTCTTGTAGGTCGCTCAGATTGTCAAGCATGAGATGGAAAACGCCATCAAACTCTCGGTAAAACTGAACGTTAAAGTGAAAATTGGACCTAGCTGGGGAGACCTGCAGGACCTGGAGCTCTGACATGAAATGGAGCTTTCTCGCGTGTGGTGAGGTGGAAGGCACCATGGACTGGGCAGGGCACGGATCAGCGTAGCGGCGGGATCCTCCTGTTTTTTGTTATTACAGACATTGTTGCAAACTGCCTTCTGAAACATGTGGCGTGGAAGCTGGTATGAATTCACCAAGCCAAATCCTTCAAAGGTCAGACAGCACAGTGAAGCGTGTTTACAGAACTGTGAAATTATTAATTGCTAGAAGTGCAGTATTTAAATGAATTCTGTTAAAATATGCTTGATCTTGTAATTTAAAGTAAAACCCCAAAGCCTAATGAATTTATTACATATGAAATGAGCTGGATTATTTCATTAAAACAAGGCACAAAGATAACTTGGCAGTTCTTGTGTGTAGTGGTGTATAGGACAAAAAAAAAGTCATTGTGTGTGCACTTAATGTTAAATTTTACAGTCCTCTGCTAGGATCATTTTGTACTGAATTCTGCTGATGATATTCAGATGCTGAAATGGCTTTACAGCTGGCTGGATTTCTCACTGAGGAGCTGTGCAGCTTTCCCAGTGAGCGGAACTGGTGCTTGGTTGGCCTCTGACTTTTAGGAGAGCATTTTGGTGACTGACTGCCATAATTCATCCTACTGCTACCTTGCAAACTGGCCTTGAGAAGGATAGTGTTTGGACTCTTTTATAGTTAACACAAAATCACCAGCAAAAATATTCCTTTTTAAAGAATGAAACTCAATTTGCTGGTTAAAAACTTAACGGCAATTCATATTTTTGTGAAGGAAAAAAAAAAAACCAAACCCTCAGTCTGGCTAGCTGAAGTGACAGCCTGGCTGGTGTTTGAGGTCTGGTGTGCTACGGAGGTGTCGCTGAGCGGTGGTGGGTGACCTGTGGCTCTTCATTCAGAGACCCGTATCCTAGGGAAGCCTCATACCCTGCCTGTTGGTAGCTTCGCTAGAAACTGCACAGATTTCCCCCGTGCTTTGCCGCAGCGTCTTTGACTCCACCCCTATGATCAGGCAGAAAGTTTTTCTGGGATTTTGGGCTTGTCAGGCTGAGCTGTTCCTGCAACTGACTCTGGTCAGCTGCTGGGATCTGGTGCTTCAAAAGAGGGGGCAAGGACGGCGCTCGCAGGGAATTAACCTGTCACTGTTTGGCATTACTCTTGTCACTAATACCTTCTGGTCTGACTAAACCTCACATCACGTGGTTTTGTTTCCCTTCCAGATGGTTGCAATGGTTATACAAGTTCAGCTGTTTTTGTTAACTTCGTGCAATGGCTGACCTTGAATTCTGTTATTTACATCATGTGGCCCTTGTATGTTACAAGAAAGGGAGGACAGGTGCCTCCCGTCATCTTCTTTATGCCTCTAATTATTTTATCATGTCTTTTCTTCTGCAGTTTCTAATGTAAACATCTTCATCTTTCCATTCTTGCCTCCCGTGAGAAATTCTCAAGCCCCTAATTATTCTTTCATTTCTGAACTTCTGCCGGATCCTTTTTAAGAAGTGTGCTTTTGAAGTTGCCTTTATAGCCTGATCTGAGAGGATGCATACTTGGCTTTCAACAGCCTGATAGCGTGCTTGAGCTTGTTAACTTCAAATGCGGCGCTTTTGGCGTGGCCGTTACCCTGACATCAGAAGTACCTGGCACCCGAGGTTTCAAGAACGTGGTGAGTTTTAAAAGCTGTTAATGGGGCCTGCATACAAAAGGCCGCATCCTGGGCTCTGATCCACCACCTGCCTGTTGTGCAGCAAAACGGGCACGTGGTATCAAGCCACAGCCCCAGGTGAGGATGCCTTGACTGCCCTTCTCAGCTCCGACTTGGCCTTCTTTCCTGTTCTGGATTTCATTTTAGGTTGACTTTTTGTTTCCTTCCTGCCCACTTTGCACTGTGGTTTTCTACCACATCTGTCACCTGATGGCTGAGCTCTTTATCCACAGCATTCGGTTGATAGACAGTTGTTTCTTTTCTTAGCTTATTAAAGCTTTTGTTATTAACAGATCTGAGCCCCGGCACCCTGCCGTCTGACCATTTGTGTGCTCTGCCTGTAAAGATGCTGGGTTGGACTCATTATCGATTCATATGGCCTAATGATTTCCTGTCCCTGGGTGTCATGCGGTGACACACCTGTGCCGTATTTCAGGCCTCACCGGAGCTGCTGTAATTTGAGTTGCTTGTTCTTTGGCACATTACAATATTTTTCTCCCACATACTGTCTTTAGCGTTTCAGAAGGATGGATCTCATGCATATTTCCCTACAAGCTCTCTAGACAGGGGCGATGCTAATCAATAAGGTGATTGACACAGAACTAAACTTATTTTGCTAAACAAACTCAATGAGTTCATTTTAATTAAGCAGTAATTTGGAGCAAATGAGAAGATAAAAGGTGGCCACTGCTCTGTGAGTGAGGCAGCTGTGGCGTTTGAGTTATGATATTAGAACTGTCTCTGAGCTGTTGCCTGATTGCTGCTATTTACGTTCCTTAATTCTGATTAGACTTTAACTATTGTGAGACTAAGCAGGGGAAGCAGAAGAGGACTTCGGTCAGGTAAGCAGAGGCACTGCTTAGAACTCTGCAGAAGAGGGTATCTGCTATTTTCTGAAGTTGGTAGAAGGAGGCTGGCTGCTCACGTTACTTACTTATTTTTGCCTGTGGCTCCTCTCCCACCACCTCTGATGGGCTGAGGCCTGTGTGTAGTTGGAAACTGGGCTTTTTTCTGGTTCAGCACCCAATAACCAGAGTGCAGGTTACTCTCTGTCTTCTTGTAGACAGGATGGGATGCATCTGATTGTGTTCGCTCTCTGTTCCTCAGCTTGTTTGAGTGTCTCTCTTTGCAGTCTACTTCTGCCTTCTGTTAGCTGGTGCTGCACTAACACGCGAAGTCCAGCAGCCCAAGAAGACGACGGATGAACGCTGCGGAAGGGGTAGGAGTTATGTTTGTTACAGCAGCCTTGTCACTCAGTGTACACGGAACTGCTACTGCAGCCTTGTGCCTGCCTTGTGCCCTGCGCTGCCCTGGCCTGGCTGCTGCACCAGCAGGTGGGTGTCTGTCTGCCCGAAGAAACGGGGTTGGGACCCAGTCCTGTGGTCACCGGGAACACCTTGTCTTCACATCATGTGAACCTGCCTGACCCAGCTCCTCGCAGGGAGAGCCCGTCCCCTTCGGCTGCTGAGCAGCCTCGTTCCATTTGCTTCATACCCGCTTTCTTGTCAAAATGACTCAAGATTCAGCTGACTACTGGTACGGGGTAGAACTTCCCCGGACTCGGTAGCAGGAACTCCTGCCATTGGTATTTGATACAGCAACTCAGTCCTTTTCCTCACGTGCAGACCACAAGCTGGTTTTGCCTTGGTCTTTCTGCTGCAGCTTTCCTTCTATCCCTGCTTACTGACAGTGCTCTGTGCGCTTTCTTGTAGCTGGGCAGTGGTGGGAGAGAGGCAGGTGACAAATGGTGACACACACCTCATCTGATCTGGTTTGGTCCTTTTGCTTTTTCCCATGCCATTTGCATTTCTTCAAGAAGAGAGTAGAGTTTTTCCTGCTGTTTTTTCCTATAAATACGTAGCTGAAAAGAGGGAGCTGGAAGCTCAGTAGCTTTGGCTGATGTTCTTGAGCCTCCCCTGGCAGAGCAACTTAATCATCTTGTTGGTAAGTGCCCTTAAAGGAGCTCACTTCTGCCCTTCTGAGATTTCAGCTTGTAGGTGACTGCTTTTAGCCTGCAGTGGAAGTGACGCGAAGGGTGCTCTCAGTCGGCTGGGAAGCCCAGGGAGCAAGGCCAATATTCCTGGGGACTGGTGTTACGATTATGAGCGCCATGTGAGCTCCCTGCAGTAAAGCATAGGAACGTTAGCGGGGGTCCAGGCTGTGTCCCTGCGTGAGCTGCTGGAGGAAGGGAGGTGGCCGTCCCCGCCCCAGCAACAACCGTGGCTGCATTTTCCATATGCCCGAGTGATTAGTGTAAACTTCATCCAAAGGCTTTACATAAACCATGCACCTTTGAAATACTATAAAGAATCTAGGAGTAGAAATTGGGAAAAAAGAGAGGTCTACACCAGCTAATATCAATTCTTTATTTTCTTTCCCTCTTTTTTTTGGTTGTTACGGGGGACTGAAAACAGCCTCAGTTAAAGATGCCTTAGTTTTCCTTTTGTGACGCTGATTGAGGATACCTGTGGAAACAGGACATGGTTAGTGCAGGAGTGTGTGGTTCACCCCAGATTAGCCTTCGTTCTGAGATACAGGTAGTGACTCATTAACAAACCCCCACATATTCTGTCCACATTTCTGAATATTGGTTGCTATTTAAAAAAGTACAATGTTTGATTTGTTGATTTAATCACAAAACAAAACACATGAATGGAAACACTCATTTACGTGACTATTGCTTATACACCTAAGATGACGAGTTGACTACAAATGGCCACACGTAGTTCCTTAATGAGAGAGAGTGTGTTCTTACTAAGACCATACCAAGGCAAAAAAACATTCAAGACTGAAATACACTGTGCTTGAATTCACCTTTAGGTTACTGAAAATGATGTATGGGGGGCCGGGGTATTTAAGGGGCGTAATTAAATGAAATCTGGCTTTTTGCCTCTGTTACAATACACATGGTTTATAAATGGAGGAGTCCTGAGGTTGAACAGCTCTTTGTAAGCTGCAATGTTTTCTTCACTTCTTAAATTGTATACTGAAAAAAATATTTTTGTATGCTTATCTTCATTATACTGCACACATTGTGGTATGAAACGGCTTCTGTAAAAGGAATATGTAAATTGTTTTAGACAATTTCTATATGTGATAATTTTATACACTATGTGTAGTAAATAGAGTATTTCTGTTAAATATTTGTGTAAGAAGCTATATTCTGGTAATATAGGGAATGTCTAATTAATGTAAATAGTTGAACTGTAGAACTGTAAAAAAAAAAAAAATTTAGAAAACAGGTAATTATACAAAACAAAACCTGATTCTCAAATTTTCCTTTATCTTGTCTTTTAATTCAAGATTTGAAGCTTAAGTTAAAACTCTAGTGATGGATTTTTTTTTTTTTTTAAATAAAATAGCTTGTACTTCATTGAAGAGTTGGCAACTCTGAAAACATATAAATAATCTAATTTAATGTATTTTCTCTGCATACTCTGTCTACCTACGGTTCTGGGCATAAGATCAAACATATATGGTCAAAGCCAGAGGGGTGTGTGTGCTGTTGGAAGTTCTGTGTGTGTCTGGGTTTGGATGCGTTGTGATAGAGAGCTCCTGTAAAAAAGGATGAGAGGGAACAGGGTATCCAAATGAACAAAAAGCATTTTAATTTGAACAAGTATTTCCAGCCAGTCTGGAAAATTGTAACTATTGTAACAGGATTGCGATGTTGAAGATGCCTCTAAGTTTAGGATTTTGCTTGAGGTGGTGCTGTCTTAGTGGGAAAGGTGAAAGCACATGATTTCAACATCCAGCAACAGCTGTGTCCTCAATTTTCTTACAGCAAGGCAGGTCAGATGCTGTGCTTGTTGCTGGGAATGCTCCATCTTTATTCCTTTCACTAACAACCTTCAGTAGCGTTCAGGTCAGGCCTTTCAAAATCCCACACTCCCCCTCATTTCACAATAAATCAACCAGGCAAGAGTTTTTCCTCCCTCATTGAAGTTTTTAAGTGAAGGTTTTTTCCACATACATGGTAAATCTCGATAGAAAGCATTTAACAGTGTGCACTAACAAACTTATACAACATATACATTACA